GGCCGAGGCACCCGTGGGGTGGCTCAGGCGGGCGACGGCCAGCCGGTCCCCCCGGGGAGGGGTGGACTCACTAGATGACCTCCGAGGTCCCTTCCGGCTCTACGATTCTGTCGTTCTGTAAGGGTCTCCTACTTGAGCAGGGTGTGGACTAGATGACCTCCAAGGTCCCTTCCTACTCTTATCATTCTATGATTCTGTAAGGGTCTCCTGCTTGAGCAGGGGGTTGGACTAGATGACCTCTGAAGTCCCTGCCAGCTCAGTTATTCCATGACTCTGTAAGGCTCTCCTCCTCCAGCAGGGGATTGAACTAGATGACCTCCGAGGTCCCATCCAGCTCAGCCCTTCTATGATTCTGTAAGTGTCTCCTCTAGCAGGGCGTTGGACTAGATGACCCCCGAGGTCCCATCCAGCTCAGTCATCCTATGACTCTGTAAGGCTCTCCTCCTCCAGCAGGGGGTTGGACTAGATGACCCCCGAGGACCCTTCAAGCTCAGCCCTTCTATGATTCTGTAAGTGTCTCCTCCAGCAGGGGGTTGGACTAGATGACCTCCGAGGTCCCATCCAGCTCAGCCCTTCTATGATTCTGTAAGTGTCTCCTCCAGCAGGGGGCTGGACTAGATGACCTCCGAGGTCCCTTCCAGCTCAGTCATTCTATGATTCTGTAAGTGTCTCCTCCAGCAGGGGGTTGGACTAGATGACCTCCGAGGTCCCATCCAGCTCAGCTCTTCTATGATTCTGTAAGTGTCTCTTCCAGCAGGGGGTTGGACTAGATGACCTCCGAGGTCCCTTCCAACTCTGTCATTCTATGATTCTGTAAAGCTCTCCTGCTCAAGGAGGGGGCTGGACTAGATGACCTCCGAGGTCCCTTCCAACTGTCATTCTATAATCGTAGACGGCTCTCCTGCTCAAGCAGGGGCTTAAGAGAAGGGGGGGTCCTTCCGACTGACTCCCCTCCCCCTTTTTTTCCCGGCTGCAGGCCGCAAGTTCATCATTGCCAACGCCCGGGTGGAGAACTGCGCCATCATCTACTGCAACGATGGGTTTTGTGATCTCTGCGGCTACACCCGGGCCGAGGTCATGCAGAAGCCCTGCACCTGCGACTTCCTCTACGGCCCTCGAACTCAGAGCAGCGCCAGCACTCAGATCGCCCAGGCCCTGCTGGGCTCCGAGGAGCGAAAGGTGGAGATTTCCTTCTACCGGAAGGACGGTGAGTCGACGCCGGGCGGGGGTGTGTAGACCCACCTGAGGGGGTTGGACTAGATGATCTCTGAGGTGGCTTCCGGCTCTTTGATTCTGGAAGGGTCTCCTGCTTGAGAAGGAAGGGGGACTAGATGACCTCAGAGGTCCCTTCCAGCTGTGTGATTCTATAAGGGTCTTCTGCTTGAGAAGGGGGTTGGACTAGATGACCTCTGAGGTCCCTTCCAAGTCTGTCATTGTGTAAGGTTGGATTGGATGACCTCTGAGGTCCCTTCCAGCTGTGTGATTCTGTAAGGGTCTTCTGCTTGAGAAGGGGTTGGACTAGATGACCTCCAAGGTCCCTTCCAGCTGTGTGATTCTGTAAGGGTCTCCTGCTTGAGAAGGGGTTGGACTAGATGACATCCGAGGTCCTTCCAGCTGTGTGATTCTGTAAAGGTCTTCTGCTTGAGAAGGGGTTGGACTAGATGACCTCTGAGGTCCCTTCCAGCTGTGTGATTCTGTAAAGGTCTTCTGCTTGAGAAGGGGTTGGACTAGATGACCTCTGAGGTCCCTTCCAGCTGTGTGATTCTGTAAGGGTCTCCTGCTTGAGCAGGGGGTTGGACTAGATGACCTCTGAGGTCCCTTCCAGCTGTGTGATTCTGTAAGGGTTTTCTGCTTGAGAAGGGGTTGGACTAGATGACCTCCGAGGTCCCTTCCAGCTGTGTGATTCTGTAAGGGTCTCCTGCTTGAGAAGGGGTTGGACTAGATGAGCTCTGAGGTCCCTTCCAGCTCTGTGATTCTGTAAGGGTCTCCTGCTTGAGCTAGGGGTTGGACTAGATGACCTCCGATGTGCCTTCCAGCTGTATGATTCTGTAAGGGTCTCCTGCTGGAGCAGGGGGTTGAACTGGATGACCTCCGAGGTCCCTTCGAACTCTGTTAGAGGTAGTTCATTTTGTGACCGTCCAAAGGTACAACGGTCCTGGAAAAAAAGTGACTTTGGACTGACGACTCATGAAACTCAGAGGTTCAGCCACCGACTCACCTTTACGACGGTCGCCGTGTTCGGGGGGTCACGTGACCCCCCAACCCCCTTTGACCACCTTCCCGCCCGCAAAATCCAGGGGGAAGCCGGGTTCACTTAACGACTGGGGGGACTAAATTTAACAACGGCGGTGATTCCCTTCCTGACGGTGTACCGTAACAGTCATAAAATGGGTCCCGTTGTGGTCGCAAATTGATGGCGCTCTCTGTACCCCTTCGTCGAGGGGTGTGTGACACAAATTGCCAAACGCCTTCCTTAAACAAGGCAGCGTTGAGGGGTGGGGGGGTGGTCTAGATGACCTCGGGTGAGGATGTGGGTCCGCCCCGCAAAGCCCTATGGAACAGGCAGCAGGGCCTCGATACAGGAAGTCCTCCGTTTACGACCAGAACCGAGCCCCACATTTCCGGTCGCTAACTGAGACATGCGTCGCCAAGTGAGACGTTTTGTCCCCTGTGTTTCGACTGGTCTCGCCGCCGTGGTGACGTGAAACCCTTGCAGCTGATCATTTCACAGCGGCCGTCCTCGACTTACGACACCAACAGAGCCCAGAGTTTCAGTCGCCAAGCGAGACACTTTCCTCCCCCCTCGTACGACCTTTCTTGTCCCCGTTGCTGCCGTTGTTAAGCGAGTCAGCTGGTTGTGAAGCGAATCCGGCTTCCTCCCCCACGGTCAGACGGTCGCAAAAGCGGGGGATCGCGGGAGCCCCCCCTCCCTCCCCGGGACACGGCGACCGTCGTAAATACGAGTCGGTTGCCGAGCCTCTGAATTTTGGTCCTTAAGTACGAAAAAGTGTAATCGGTGACGTCCGAACTGGGAATGGTCACTAAACGAGGCGTCGTTAAGTCGAGGACTTGCCTATATAGGGGAAGATTGTGGGGAAAAGCGTCATTTTTTACAACGTTTCGGGTTGTTTTTTTCGCTTTTCTGCCACATTTGCCAAACAGCTGAACTTTCTCCAAGGCAGCTGAGCGTCGCTCTTTTTTTTAACCCCGTCTGTCAATCATTTCTCAATTCCCCCCCCCCCCCAAAATGTGTCCAACGGGATTTTTTTTCAAGGTTGGACCTTCCACAGTTTTCCCGACAAATGTTTCTTCTCCGGATCCTTTGGCAGATTTGCCATATTTCTTTTTTTTTAAAGGTTTCTACACAATCTGAAAGTTGCAACATTTGTGCAGAAAAGCAACCACGTTTTTTGGGGGGGGGGGCAACCGCTCCAGAATTAGTCCTTTTCTTTCTTTCTTTCTTTCTTTTTGGAGACAATCCCAAATTATTTCACACTCGTCCTTGACATTTATCCGCTGGGATTGCAGAAGCCGGTTTGTTGTGCTCTTTGTTTGAAAGAGGAGAGGAGAGAAAAGAAGAGAAGGGGGAGAAAGGGGGAGAGAGAGAGAAACAGAAAGAGAGAAAGAGAATGAGAGAGAAAGACAGAGGGAGAGAGAAAGGGAGAGAGGACAGAGAAAAAGAAAGAGAGAAAGAGAAAGAGAGAGAAAAGAAAGAGAGAGAGAAAGAGAGAGAGAGAAAGAGGGAGAGAGAAGGACAGAGAAAAAGAAAGAGAGACAAAGAGAAAGAAAAAATTAAAAGAAAGAGAGAGAAAGAGGGAGAGAGAAGAGGGAGAAAAAGGGAAGAGAGAGAGAAAGAGGGAGAGAAGGACAGAGAAAAAAGAAAGACAGAGAGAAACAGAAAGAAAAGGAAGGGAGAGAAAGTGAGAGAAAGGAAGACGGAAGAGAAAGAAAGAGGGAGAGGGAAAAAGAAGGAGAGAGAAGGACACAGAGAAAAAAAGACAGAAAGAGAAAGAGAGAGAAAAGAAAGAAAGAGAGAGAGAATGAGAGAGAGAAAGAGGGAGAAAGGGAAGAGGGATAGAGAAATAGGGAGCGAGAAGGACAGAGAAAAAGAAAGACAGGCAAAGAGAAAGAAAGAAAGAGAGAGAGAGAGACAAAGAGAGAGAGAAAGAAAAAGAAAGGAGAGAGAGAAAGGGAGAGAGAAGAGGGAGAAAAAGGGAAGAGAGAGAAAAAGGGAGAGAGAAGGACAGAGAAAAAGAGAGACAGAAAGAAAGAAAGAAAGAAAAAGAAAGGAGAGAGAGAAAGAGGGAGAGAGAAGAGGGAGAAAAAGGGAAGAGAGAGAGAGAAAGGGAGAGAGAAGGACAGAAAAAAGAAAGACAGAGAGAAAGAGAAAGAAAAGCAAGGGAGAGAGAGAAAGGAAGACGGAAGAGAAAGAAAGAGGGAGAGGCAGAAAGAAGGAGAGAGAAGGACACAGAGAAAAAGAGAGAGAAAGAGAAAGAGAGAAAAAAAGAAAGAGAGAATGAGAGAGAAAGAGGGAGAAAGGGAAGAGGGAGAGAGAAATAGGGAGCGAGAAGGACAGAGAAAAAGAAAGACAGACAAAGAGAAAGAAAGAGAAAGAGACAAAGAGAGAGAGAGAAGGAGAGAGAAAAAGGGAAGAGAGAGAAAGAGGGAGAGAGGACAGAAAAAAGAGAGAGAGAGAAAGAGAAAGAAAAGGAAGGAAGGGGAGAGAGAGAAAGAGAGAGGAAGAGGAAGACAGGGAAGAGAAAGAAAGAGGGAGAGAGAAAAAGAGAGAGATAGAAAAAAGAAAGAAAGAAAAGAAAGAAAGGAGGGGGACAAAGAGAGAAAGAGAAAAAGAGAGAGAGGAAAAAGGAAGGAAGGAAGGAAGGAAGGAAGGAAGGAAGGAAGGAAGGAAGGAAGGAGCAGGAGATCCCATAGAGCCCAACATTTATTTGGGGGGGGAGGCTGTTTCTGCGCTACGGCGCCAACGGGGACGCCGGCCTGGAGTTGCGTGCAGACTTTTCCGCAGCCCAAGGAAAATACTTCAAATTCCTCGGCCCCTGCCGAGGGGGCGGGTGACACTTAGCCAGCACGGCAGCTGATGTGCACATGGGGGAACAACGCACAGCTCCAGGGTGGCGGAGGAGGGGAGCCTGGAGTGGCCACACACAGCGTTGTGCAGTGTGTGTTTGTGGTTGTCCCCGTGTTTGCGATTAACCTTAGCCCTTTGCAAGGGAGATCCGTCTGTCCCGTCCGCTGGGAGAGAGGAACGTTCCCTGCCCGGACTCGCTTCAGTCTCCCAAGAGGGATTCCCTTCCGGCCTCGGAATAAGAGCCAGGAGGGACCTCGGAGGTCCTCTAGTCCAACCCCCTGCTCGCGCAATCAGAATAAGAGCTGGAAGGGACCTCGAAGGTCATCTAGTTCAGCCCCCTACTCAAGCAATCAATCAGAAGAGACCTGGAAGGGACCTCGGAGGTCTTCCAGTCCAGCCCCTTGCTCGAGCAGCAGATCCTTACAGAGTCATAGAATAACAGACTTGGAAGGGACCTCGGAGGTCATCTAGTCCGACCCCCTGCTCGAGCAGGAGACCCTTACAGAATTACAGAATAACAGGGTTGGAAGGGACCTCGGAGGTCATCTAGTCCAGCCCCCTACTCAAGCAATCAATCAAAAGAGACCTGGAAGGGACCTCGGAGGTCTTCCAGTCCAGCCCCCAGCTCGAGCAGGAGATCCTTTCAGAGTCATAGAATAACAGACTTGGAAGGGACCTCGGAGGTCATCTAGTCCAGCCCCCTGCTCAAGCAATCATAACAGAGCTGGAAGGGACCTCGGAGGTCTTCTAGTCCAGCCCCCTGCTCGAGCAGGAGACCCTTACAGAGTCGTAGAATCATAACAGAGCTGGCAGGGATCCTCCCATCGTGTTCTTCCCGTCGTGTTCCTCCAAACGGGCGTCTTGCGTGTCGGTTTTCCTTCGCGGGAAGAAAGCATCTTCCGGGTGTCATTTTCGGGAATATACGGTCGTCCCTACCGGCCTTTTTTCCCTCTTTCGTTTTCTCGATGGATGTAACTTCACGGAGGGGGAGAATCGGGAGAAACGCACACGGCCCGTTGAATGCCATGGTTTATTTGTTGGGTCGCGCAAAGAAGCTCCAATTAAAAATGCCACCGGGAATTCTTGTCTCCTCCCGGCTGTCGAGCAGGCTTCGGGGCTGG